ATAGAACAAAACAAAAAATAGAAGTAAAATAAAATCTACAGACATGTTACAGACATTTACAACAAAGACATATTATTAAATATTGACATATACTGTAGGCGGCTGGAGCATTATTGGGAGACGGACTCACTGTTCCGCAGGCTGTGACAGGAGATCACATACTGGGCTGCCAGATCAACTGAGTTCCCTCCTCCCTCTCCCAGTAGGATTGGGACCCGTTGTGACTCTGGCAGGTGTGGGAACTCTGGGATTAGATTTCTGAATTTATCTCGCCTTGGTCCAGCAGAGGGAGCTCGCGTACTGTGATGACAAACTGGAAGTGTTGTAGATCTAGAGCCGGTGCGAAAGGCTGTTCGCAAAGGAACAGGTAAAGGTTTATTCCCTGCTGAAAAGGTGTAAGAAAGAGAGGGCAGTCGGGAAAGATAATACAGCATGGGGAAACAAAGGCCAGGAGAGAGGAGGAGGCGGGAGCCAAGCTATATTATCTTTGCTGATTGCCCTGTCTTTCTTACAACTGAAGAAGGCTCCACAGCCGAAACGTTGTGTTGTCTTCCTTCTCTTTTCAGTCTGGAATAAACCTTAACTTGTTCCTTTACAAATAAAATATGATCGCAGTGCTGTCGGCGGTGAGGTAGTGAGTTAAGTCTGTATACTTCAGAGCTGAGGGTTGTGGGTTCAAATCCTCTCTAGAAGATGGTTGTGACGCCTTGCAGCAATGACCTTCACCCAGATAGCTCTTTTGAGTGCAAATGTGTTTTGTTAATTAACTAGCCTGACACAAAAAGAAATAGTCCCATCGAAGATACAGTGAATCTTTTAGCAGAAAGTAGGAGTTGAAACAGACCATATATCTCAGGAGGGATAAAAACACTGATCAAGTCTTTAACAAAGGACTATGAAAGAAGTTCAGTTTCTTTAGGATGTTCAGAAAGATCTTATTCATTTTTGACCCTTCTGTAACAATGGCCTAGAATGTGCGGGATTAAGACTTCAGGGCACCAGAGTTCCTTACACAGCGCAGAAAAGTGGTTAGTCTGTGTGCGCTGTAAGATTCTGTTGGACAACTTGTTTCTAACACAGGGAGTCAGTGGGAGAAGCTGAAGATCTGTGTCATGTCCCAGAGGTTCCTGTTTGATGACTGAGGAGGGCACGTATAGTCCTGATTCCCTTTGGTGTGTGGTACGATCTGAGACACACTTGGCCGTTCCTAAAGGAACTGTCATGTCCAGCTCACCAGGATTTTCAAAGTCTAGTTTTAAGCCATGGCCGTATCAGAGACAATGGGCTTTCTCATCGGTGGTGATGATTTCCCAGACATTATTGCAGCATTCGGAGGACATTCTGTTTAACCAAAACATGTTAAAATGTGGAAATCAAGCATTTCCAGCCACTCTAGCAGACAAAATCTGACTGCTCTGACTAATCGGATACCGTTAAGAAATGCTGACATCGTATTTTACTAGGTGAGGTAATCGCTTCCCCATTAAGTGTACGTCATTTGTTAAGTAAGTGATAGGAAATGTAAATGTATCTTGCTGAGGGAACCAGTTAAGAATATATGCCAATAATACCCCATTTTACAGCGGCTCACGATTTTAAAACCTGTGGGCATGGAGAACTTACAGGAGGTTTTATATCACAAATAACCCCCACAAACAAAACAGGTCTTTAAAAAGAAGGTCGTTCCCACGAGTCCTGACGTCGCTCGGAAGCTAGACTTAAAAAAAAAAACGAAATGCAGATTGATTAAAACATGTTTTAGATGTGTTGGAAGTCAGTAGCAATAGTCAACACCCATCACAGTGCGTAAGGTGAAAGATAATGGGTTTATGCCACAACACGTTAGTTTTTTCCCGTTCCCACACACAAAGGATTGCACTGGGTCATTTTGAAAGCCGGCCTTGATGTA